AAAGCAAGCTCGGTCCCTGCCTGGTGGAAACTGGCAAAGCTCCATTGACATAAAAGGAGCTACACTGGATTTATGTCAGGTGAGTGTCGGTCCTGTTTCTAGTTCTCAATTAACTGCCTGTCCAATGCTTGCCACCGCAGGGCTCAAGTCAATTCATACTTTTATTTGGCATTAAAGACAATGTACAAAAATAGTGACCTTGGCTCCCTGCGGTTTTCCGAATGTGTCTGGTGATTGGTATGTACACACAGCAAAATAATATCTTACATTTATAGGCTGTCTGTCAGCCTGAAGGCTCCCTACAAATTATATACAGGAATTCCTTCTCCCGGCACTGGAATGCAGCCACTTCTGGGGCAGAGTGCGGCAGCAATTTAACAGCATACTATGACAGTCCACAAAAGTTTAGGACACAAAGGGAGAAAATTGCAGGGACAATTTAGGGCAGGAGAATGAAATTATACAAACTGCAAGAGGGCCAGGACAATGGGACAAAAGTCTGGATGTCAGTAATAAATGTCAATGGATGGTCTGAAAAAAAGTGCCACCTAATGCCATCCTGGGGCACTGCTTTGGCGGGACCAGTGCCTCCTATTGACTCACCAATGCCACTCCCTGGGGCACAGCGGCCTGTCGGGATATGGCATCCTATTCTAGTGCCTCTTCTAACTGGAGCTCACATGGCGAGCAGTTGTGGAGATGAAAGGAGAGAGCTTCATTTAAGATCACGCAGCTAGCCATGGGGATGTCAGATGTGTCATTTGCTTTGAGTGGTGTGGGTCTGTCTAAGCAGAGACATGCACTGGTGATGGGCTCCTTCTCTCCCCGTGGTGCCCAGCGGGGGGCATAGCCTGCCATTCAGCTCAACCTGGATCCCAGTCCCAGCCACCCAAGGTAGCCCCAGGGGAGCCGGCTGTCACATCGCGCAGACAGTCAGGTTAAATTGCACAAACCAAAGTGACTTGTGGCTCTTGGGAGCCTGATGAGCCTGGAAAGAAAGGAAACAATGGCTCCCTTTGTTCTCTGGGCTGGCAACAATGTGCTGGCCTGAGAGCGCGACGCATTACAATGACATTATAGTTGCACTCCCGCCCTGGGTGTGAGGAAGGATGGGCTGGGTGAAGGAGCTTGACAGCTGTGGGGAAGGGACCTGCCAGGGGCATCTCAGTGTGGTCTCAGACAGGGCTCTACAGAATGCAGCAGGAAAACACTCAAGGGCAAATTCAGGCCCCTATTCACCACCCTTGTGGCATAAGGGGCCTCCGAATGGGCAGAAACTGACCCTTCCTCTGTGAACATCAAGCTGCTGCAGCCTCCAGTAAAGCGGGTGGGTCAGTGAAGGGAGTAGGGGGGAAACAGGTGTGTCTACTCTCTGTTTCCCCCGGGCTATAGGGAGCCAGGGCATCGCAGTGTAGGTTAGAGCTGTCTGCAGATTCTGCTTCCTGCCAACGCGGGCCCTGCCAGGTGCTGGAGTGTGAGGGCTGCCAAGGTGTCTGAAAGCCACTGTAACCCCCCCGGAGCCAGGGGCAGGCTGGACAAGCTGAGCAGCGGGGGCCTCGGTCCAACTTTTCTGTGTAAGCTCCCGGGTACCCAGCACCTTCTCGCTAGTGCCCCTGCCCAGCTGGGCTCAAAGGCTGTGCGTGGTGTAGGGGCAGATGGTAACCCAGCCAGGCTGGGACGTCCCTTCCCCTTTGCGTGGCCTGCATCTACAGTGCAATGAGTTACTAAAGGGGGAGGAGGCTGGCTGCTCTGAGGACCCCTCCCCCCAGAACTGGGACTGCACACGCGGGTGCTGAGCAATCTTCTCCCATGGTGTCTTGCCAGGGAGCTTCACCCCTGACCCTGAGGGAGCCCCTCCAGCAGTGCAAAGTTTAAGTCCTTGACTCTCTGCAGAGCCGGCCAAAAAAGATGCCAATTAGTGCCCGTTCCTGGTGCGGGATGGGGGATCTGGACTTCTGCCCACTGGGACCTAGGCTGAGACCCTGGAGTCATCTCTGACTGGCCACCAAACAGCCACGGATCTTTTCAGCTTCTGGTCCCCACCGGTAACTGCCACAGCCATGCAGCCCCCACTGCACAATGACTTGGCAGCTCCTGCTGCCTGACTCACCTTGAGGTGAGAGCTCTAAGGGCAGCTGTTCCAGGGCTAGCAGGAGGGGCCGCGTCAGCCAGGCAGGCTGGGGCACACAGAGAAGGGGCGTGAATGGCGGAGCCAGAGTTCGATGGAAAGATCCTCAGCTGGTGTAAATCAGCATCACTCACTGAGGCCGATGGGGCAAGGCCTATTGATACCAGCTGACCTGGCCTCAACTCTCCCCATTCTCAGCCTGTTCCTGAGTCAAATTTCACTAGCCCTCATCATTTTAAACACACATTTTGATCTATTCTTTCAGCTCTGTTCGTATTCTAGCCAATTCTACCAGCTAACTCGCTCTTTCTAATGCCTTGTACCGTGCTTGAGCTAATCACTTATTGCCGTCTCCATCCAGAAGTGCCTTGCTTTGCTAGGAAGAAGAAAGAGATTTCCTTCTGTGAACCTGCCCCTTCTAGTTCCTATAGAAAGAACCTCCCTCAGCCCCTGGATAAAGAGCGATCATATTTTCCGAAGTCATTAGGATCCAAATAGCACCACAGAGAGAGTGATGGAAAATGTGTACATTGGTTCAAGCTGTAAAATTTCATTTCAGCAATGGAAGATCTAGCTCAGTGCATTTGCCTTTATAATAGCGTGGTTTCTTGCTTTCATTTTTTTATCTGAGGTTAGATATTTGCAGCTAGAGCCAGAACACGTGAGCAAACTCACGTTGTTCAGGACAACGGGATGAAAGGAACCTCTGATTGCAATTGGGCTTTAAGGCTAGAACAAATCACGGGACTGATAGTGAGACTAGCAAATTGTCAAGTGCAATAAATCACTTCCAAAAGGTACTGGAATGCTGGCGTGTGACTCATCTTCCTCAGTGCCAGCCCCTCGCCCCTCCCGGGACATTCAGCTCAGCCGCCTCTCTGCCGGGTCCTCTGATCTCTGCCTCAGAAGATCTGGGGATGCCAGTGTCAGAGCCAGGGAGAGCCAGGTTCCTAACTGGAAATGGAGGGTACAGAGTAGGGCCCTCCTTCAGCCAGACCCGCTTCAGTGGTCACTGGGGTTTGGCTAATTTGACCCATCAGAGAGAGCCAGGCAGACTCAGGGCTGCATTTGGGTTTCCTAGACCTAGCTGGCTGGGGAGCCGTCTTTCAAAGGTGAGGGCGTTTTGGATCCTGCTCCCATCTCTACAAATCCCAGAAGTCTGGGGTGCACATGTGCAGACAAAGCACTCTGGGTTCAGCTGGTCTTTAACGCTGATGGGAGAGGTGCCGTAACAGAGGAACGTGCTGCCCTAGATGTTCCCCCCCAGAACCTTGAGCCTAGCTCCCATCACCCCTCTTGGCTGGGCAGCCACTGCCAGGTGAACGTGCAAGGTCCCAAGGCCCTGAAATAGTCGATCCCTTTGGCCTGACCCAGCATGTCCCCTCCCAAATGGCGACGTTCCCCTGCCTTCTGCATCTCCATGCCACAAATGCAGCCCCTGGGCTCTGAGGTCCCTTTGCCTCCTGCAGGCTCATGCAATGGATGCCAGGGAACTGTAGGAGGTGCTGTGCCTGGACTCATGCAGCTCTGTGCTGCCCCCAACCGTGGCACACTTTACAATTTACTGCCACACTCTGGCCCCAGGGCAGGTTCTGAAGTCCAAGTCCTTGCATCAGATATTGGTGACAATGCTCCTGTGATTCCCTGTATAGTCACTGCATGGCCAGTTTCTCCCCCTCCCCTTTGCCAGGGGCGCTCCATAAAGCCAGTTCCGAGTCTCTTTTAATGGCCATCAGCTGGTCTGAGCCCAAAGGAGGAGAAAATGATTTGTCACTGATAGACGAGCTTAATCCCTCAACACTTGCACTGAATCCCGACATGTCAGGGGGCTTTAGTGTTTATCTGGGGCTGACATCAGCGCTGCCCTTCTCGGCAGATTGCGCCAGATGTACTCAGCTGTCTGCAAGCCCTGCATTCCTTAGCAGCGGAGTGGAGTCCTTCGTCTGCAGGATGCAGAGTTCCCAGCACTGCATTCCAGGGAAAAGGTGAGGGCAGAGGTCTCTGTCGAAACTGACCCAACCTCATCCAGCTGTCATTGTGGAATCCCGTTTTAAAAACTCAGGGCAGTGTTGGGGAGGGAGGGATCAGAAGTGGAAATGCACAAGTCCTATCGACAGGCCGGCCGGGACATAAAGACAACCTGGCACTCACCCCAGCCACAATGCCCTGGGCCTCTGTCATCTCTACAATGTCAGCCAGGGAGTAAAGAGGCCTGGGATATTGCCTCCTCCTATAATGCATCACACCACCTGTTTCATCCTTCTGCAAACTCTCCCCCTGCAGGAGGCGAAGTCCTCCTGAGACGGACAGCCCCGGCCTGCTCAGCAAAGCCCCTGGTTTCAAGTCACCTATCTACAAGCCAGCCCCAGTCACCAGCCAGTAAAATAGGCTCAGTCCTGGGAAAATCTGACCTAAGTGCATAGACTGCTCCAGGACGCCAAGCGCAGCCCCCTCTGTCCAGTGCAGACCGTGCATCAGGATGGGAGACTGTAGACTGCATCACTGTGGGGGGGGAGGGGGGGGAGCTGTGTTTTAAAGCTATAATGTGTCTACTGTGCTCAGGCAGCCTGGCTCATTGCCACTGGTAGCTCCTGTTTTTCCTTTACATTTGCAAAAGGCATTTGCATCCCCTTAGACTCCCTAGCGAGTGCTTTGGCATGGGCTGGTTTGGAGCGGCCTCGGGTTATTTATGAGCCCCTCCAGCCATAAATGCTTCCATTGGCTGTTGTTAAAGGCTAGTGACATATGATTTCACTACAGGCGTGAAGGGACGACGGGGCCTTTTGTAAAGAAAGACAGATCTCTGAATTCAGAGGCGCTCGGGGTCAGCCAACTTTATCACGTGTCTGGGCAGCTAATCAGGCCCCTGAACTCCTGAACTGCAGCGGGGACGATAAGTTTTTTAAACACACATGGACGCATGGATTTCCCTTCCACCTTGCCTGTGGGTTTCAGATTAAAGTTCCTGGGGCCAATACAGGCATTCGCCGGGCTGCACTCTGCAAAGACAGCTGCACTCTGAATAGCAGCCAGCCACTGAAGAGATGGATTCAAGCCACACGAGATGGCCCAGATCCTGAACACCCCAATGTCTGTGAGTGGTTCGTGGCTCATGATACACACAGGGCCATTCACAAAATTGAGATCAAAGTTCAGGGGACTTCAGAGCGAGGGTCTTGGGGCCGGTGCGTCTCTCCGGGTACGTGGACACTGCAGTCCCGGGGCGTGGTCGCAGCCTGTGTAGACATGACTGCGCGAGTATTACTCTGTCCCGCGTGGACGGCAGATCAGTGCCAGCACGGGCTCCCGCGTGGGCTAGCTGCCCGAGTACGTTCCCAGGCCCCTTGTACAGCCTGAAGTGGAGCCCAAGTTGGATGGAGCTAGCTCAGGTGTCCACCACTGCAGACCTCCCCTATGAAAGCAGGCCGGGGCTCCCTGGCCAAGCCCCTTGTGTCTCCATTTACAGCTGTGCAAAATGAGTGTCAAATGCTACCGCTGCTGTAAGCGAGCTGGGAGTTGTGATTGGGTGGCGGTCTACGGCCACGTTGCACAGGCATAAATAGCCGTACAGCCGGGGAGAATCAGCTGCAGGAAAGGGGCGGATTCTCCACTTGCTTATCCTGGTCTTACTCAGGGAGTAACTTCATTGGCTTCTGCACCGCCGCTCCTCACTTCCGCCCGTGAGCCCAGGCCCAAGAGGGCACATTCTGGAATGCTATGAGGCCCCCACCATTTTTACAGCGGTGCTGACGTTGCTCTGCCGATCAGCTCGGGCTGGAGCGCTGGCTCTGAAGACAGCCCCTCTCCCTAGGTGTCACAGCCCGGGCCGGAACGTCCACACTGCTATTTCGAGCATGCTAGCCTGGGCCCCGCTGGCGAGAAGCTGTTGACTCTGGCTGTGAGCCTGGCTCCCGGCAGCCGTGTAGACGTACTCTCCGTGGCCTAAGTCCTCCAGCCTTTCAGTGGGCACCGGGCTCCCAGGGTCACTTGGGTGCTGGTTCTTGGTGCACAAGCCGGGACTGGCTTTGGCATCGGAACGTTTGCGCTTCGCAGCCTCGGTGGCTTTACCGCAGCTGCTGTGGGCCAGCGGCAGGGGACGGCCTGCTCCTGAGCGCCGACGCTGCACTTCCCCTTGGCCCGCGAGTGCTTGGGGCGGGGATGAGCTTTGCTCTGGGTTTGTACAGCCCCTAGCACAATGGGGTCCTGGCCCACAACAGCGGCTCCTGGGCGCTGCTGCAATACAAACAACAAAACCAAAATCCTGCTGGGCCAGATTCTCCGCTGGTGGAAACAGGGCAAGCTAATGCAGCTGCATCTTTTGACTCCAGCAGAGCATTTGATCCACCAGGCACAGGGAGCAGCACCGGAGAGCAGCCCGTAGGTTGCACAGTGAGGCAGCACTGAAGGGGTTAACCAGTGAGACTAGTGCTATGGGAAGTCATCATGCATTCAAGGGGCGCCTGGCTTCTGCCTCTTCTCCGGTGGGCCAGGAGTAGGCCCACCTCTCCCCGACAGCCGTCGCTTCTCATTACCTCCACTCCCGCCTCCCTGCATGCAGCAGGCTGTGAATAGCTCTGCGTTGTCACAGCAGATCTGCACCCTCCTACGCCCCACAGGAGACGCTAGCGGTTGTCTGCACGGATCAGTTTATGCTTGAGCACGTCAGCCCCGCTCTCCTGGCCCTGCTTATGCTGGTCCAAGAGGAAGTCATTTTAACTCCCTGAATCAATGGGCAGGACACATGCAATGTGGCCATCCCCTGGCATTCGGAAAGCATGAGACAGACCCCCCCCCCCCCCGAAATTATGAGCTTGGCTCCACGCTCACGAGAGCTGACAAGAATAAATGGGTGGGGGGAGGGGGTATCTTCTTTGAATTCTGGGTGTTGAACCTTTAGGGGTCACGTTCTCCAGCTTTTTCTCTGCAGCCACGAGGGCTAGAAAGTTACTTTTTCATTTGAATGACAGTGGAGCTCATCAGGGAGTCACGTCTCCCGCTGACTTCCCCGGGGTCCAGGATTTCACCCCAAATCAAGTGACAGTTGCAATAGGTAGGAAAGAACCCAGGAGTCCTGACTCCCTGTCCCCTAGTCTAACCTACCAGGCAACACTTCTCTCTTCTATCCACCATCCTACTCGCTGTCCCAATTGCCTCATTCTCACGCACAGCAGAGAGGATATGCTAAGACTCTGACAGTTCATACATCCCTCTCACAAAAAGATTTCCCCACATAGCTGAGATGTTGGCCTGCAATATGCATTTCCTTTGGTCTACAGAAGATTGGCTCCCGCTCAATAGATCTAATCCAGTTTTAACTCCCATTCTCACTCTACACAGCCACAGCAGCAGCCTTTACGGGCCCGTTGCGTACCATGGTTTCAGCAAGCAGCTCTGGAGAGGCGTCGTTCCAGTTTAAGGATTTGGAAACAGTCCCAGCGAAGAATTATTTTGGGCCGTCTCTGGAAGGACACAGAGCTCTGCCTGTTTATCTTGAAATGTGCTCCTTTCTGCCCAGCCAGACTGCACTGCAGCATGAGGTGCAGGCTCGCGTCGCAGCTCAGCCATTGCAATTCATCATGCAGAATTTGGTTTTATTGTACTTCAAACTCCACATGTGCAAAGATCTGGACTGACACTGGTTTCTCGTGGTTTGACAGCAGTTTAACTGACAGCAGCACCTGGCCCCTGGTGGCTATGCAACGTCTCCCACGTGAAATCATAGGTGCTGGAACTAGGGGTGCTGACGCACCCCCTGGCTTGAAGTGGTTTCCGTCATATACAGGGTTTACAGTTTGGTGGGATGGCTCTCAGCATCCCCCACTATACAAATTGTTCCAGCCCCCTTGCGTGAAATCAAGCCTTCGTAACATCAGTGCCAGAAATGATCTCCTAGCCCTCATTTCCCAGGGTTTTACAGCATTAAGTTTCTCCTGATTTAGGACCAGATTCTGGTCTCAGTTACACCAGTGTAAATCTGGAGTAGCTCCTCCAATGTTAACTGCGATCTGAGTCTGGCCCACTCCTTCCTGTCAAGTGAGAGTTGAATCTGCCCTTTAGTTTTTCCTCAGAGCTCTTCTTTGGAGAATTTGGCTTTTCCTTATTACCTTGCTCTGCTCTGTTGGGAGAGCACAGAGATGAACCGCTTGGAAAGGCCAAATGAAAAGGAACCGCATCAGGATTTGATTTCCTGAGCAAGTCACGGTCACTGGAGAAACTGGCATTTCCCTCTGAGCAATGAGGGCTTGCTCCGTTCAAGGTCATTCGCCTCATGACATACCGAGAGGAAGCGTTATTGTGAGTGATCTGGGAGTGTGAGATGAGCAGTTGTTAGCGGGTGAGAGAGCCGTGTGCGTGCATGGCAGTGTGTGTGTTTGTGTGAGATATGCAATTGTTTAGCTGGGAGGGAGAGATGTGAGTGTCTGTCTGTGCAGCTGTGTTACATTTGCAGACTGGGCACAGTGTGTGGTGGGGTGTGTGGACAGATGTGGCTCTGTGACATTCCCAAACTTGCCCCTGGTTAGTGGGATCAGAATTAGGGTGCTAAAAATAGAGCGTAGCTGTGACAGGAGGGGCTAGTTGCCCTGAGTACTTAGCTAGCCAGGACGCGGTGGCCCTGTCTTTTGTAGCAGGCTAGCATGGGTAGCTCCTCAAGCTGCAACTTACACCTGCAGCTCCAAGGGGAGACGTACCCGTAGCGGGGCGGAGGTGCTCGCTTTGTGTGCATGTAAACAGTTAATCGCTAAGGACAGACAGCGCTCCCAAACGTGGACCAGAGTTCCTGGGTTTTGGAGAAGCAACCGAATGTGTTGTATAGTGCAGGGGGTTAGACCAGCTGACTCTTGCGGTCCCTTCCAAGCCCCTGGTTCTCTGACTCTACTGGCCCTCCAGGGGAAGGCTGCAGCACACCGCCGGGCTTTTTGCTAGTTCCTAACAGAAACAATTACAAAAACTAAGCACCCAAAGTAGCTTTCTTGGACATTCAGCTTAAAGGTTACAAGCAAACAAAAGCATCTGGGGTTAGCACAGAGGAGATCCACAAGCCTTAAAAAATAAACCGGATCGCGTCCAGCTAAACATTCTGATCTTCTTACACACGTGGAGTTCCAGATAAGTACTGCTAAGTATGATCTGACGATTTCTGCTCACACCTGGGTTAAAGCTCCTTACAGCATTGCTGCTCTGCCCCTGCAGCCCAGAGAGACAGCAGAGGGCTGGGCAGGACTGGGGCCTGCGTGTTGTGTGGATAATCTGCTCTCGCCCGGCCTTACTCCAGTATAAACATGTAAACAAAATCCACCTTTGAAATCCCCCCCAAAGATTTGGAACCTCCAGCCAAATTCAATATTTACCCTGGAGAGGGGAAAGCGCCTCGCTGGGATGGGGCCAGCTGCCCCATGGGGACAACGCACAGGGTAGAACCTCCCAGCAGCAGGGCAGTTACATCAGCTTTTGCTTCGTGCAAAAACAACAAACAAGCCACCAAACAACCCCAGGCAGCGATCTGCCCCACCCGCATCGGGGCTAGGAGCCAAATGCAGGACATTGCTGGGGACCTCTGCGCCAAGAGCTTTTCTTTGATCCCAGCCCCAATCCTTTGTAGCTTTTATTCTGCTTTCTTCTCCGCTGTGATGCGGCGTCCGGAGGGGCTCCAGTCTGGGCAACATCACAGGGTGACTCTGCTCCTCCGACCGCGCTGGGTTGTGGTGTTTATTGTTCCGCTCTTTGTTTTGTAGCAAGGTGGGGGCGGGGAAGTGACGGGAGGGGGCCAAGAGCAGGTCAAGCAGTGCAGGTGCCTGGCATGGAAACGCAGGCAGCCCCTAGCCCAGGAAATGGCTCGCAGTTCACCGGACATTTTCCACAAGGAGATGCAGGGCTTGATCCGGCCAGGTGGCTGCAGCGTCTGGGGAAACCAGCACTGGCCCAGCATCCGCCTCTCATGCCTGACTCCGCACCATCCAGCTTCCAGCCTGGGGAGTCTCTGGTGCGGATCGGCTCCTTTATACAGCCCCCGCTGCTGGTGAAAGGGCCTTCTCCTCCGCACTTCCCGCACTCGGGAAGTGCCTTGCAGGGCCTCTCGGCCTTGTGCCAGCTGTTGTCCCAATGTCCCTCTGGCATCCCCTCTCCTCTCCCTGGCCTGCACGTTGCTGCTTCTCGCTCCTTTGACTCGTGGCTATTACTTTGCGCCGTAAAGTGTCTTGAGACTGGGGGGCCCCGTTTTCATGCCTGGGCCCCCTTCATAGGGTAGGTCCAGTGGCTAGGACACAGGCTTGGGTCTAGTCCCAGCTCAGCCACATCCTCACCCGTGCGACCTTGAGCAAGTCATTCCATCTGCCCTGGGCTTCAGTCCCCCGTTGGGTAGCTGGGGACGACACTTCCCTGCCCCAGAGAGGAGCTGTGAAGCTAACACCGTGGAGGCTCTCGGTTTCTGCAGTGACAAGGCCAGCTAAACAGCCAGCCATGTCCACCAGAGGGAGGCCACGCCAGCCTGGCAGGGGACCCTGACGTGCCTCCAGGCCTTTTCCTACCAGGCGAACCAGAAAGGAGCGCCCCTGAGCTGAACTGGGCCAGTCTCAGGCGCAAGCAAGATCTAGGCTGGGATTTGCATACCAGTGAAATTCAATAGGCACCTAACTCCCTTAGGCTTCCTGGAAAAGGTCAGCTCTAAAAAATACCTTCTAGTTCTCCCGTCCCACCCCCACACTTTACATTCAGGCCTGGTGTCAACTTGAGTTGTGTCTCATTCCGATGAGGAAGCAGGAGGCATTGCACAGCGGGGGAAAGGTCCTGCTCATAAAGGAGCAGGCTGGAATGGCGCCAGCCTTGCCAGGTTGTGCTGTATTTTTAGACACTAGGATAACTCCTGCCCTGCTCAGCTGGGCTCCCGGCCTGCCACGGGAGGGAGGAAACACTGACGAATGCGCCACTGAGCCCTCATTAAACATCCGTCCAGTGGAAACAGGAAGGAGAAATGGCCCATTCAGCACGTGCGTTCCCACCACGACAAGCTGTACGGTCCTGTCCTGCACTGGGCGGGCAGAGGAGAGCGGACAGCAGCCGAGCCCAGCTCCCCATTCGTGGCCTAGAAGAGTCGGGGAGCAGGATGAGCCTTAGCGAGGCAAGCGATGGTTGGGATGACTCTGCCCCTGCACTCTGTTAGCCGTCTCCCCGGTCTGGCACAGGGGGCGTGGTGAGCCGGAAAGGCAGCCCAGTGCGGGCGATGGGAACATGCCCCGGTGGAAATGGCTCAACAAAGAGCCAGCGTCTGTCAGCATCTGAGAACCAGAGCGGGAGCAGGCTCCAGGATCTGGGTTCCCACCTCTGAGGGACAAACCACCGGGACATCTGGGATGGTTGAGAGCTCATGAAGCTGGCCGTGTGCACTGAGCACCCTGTCAGATGTCCTGGGGCAGCTGCCTCGCAAAAGGGATGATCCTGGGGAAACCTGGCCAGGTGGCAGCCCTCGTCCCTGGCCTTTTCTCTGCTTTCAGCTTTCTGGGTCCTCAGCCCTTTGAGCTTCCCCTGGAATGATGGGTGCGAACAGCCCCATAAGCTCAAACTGACCCCTGATCTGTTCCAAACACGACACCAAGCTCACTGGAAAGTCGGCCTCAGGCCTGCACTTGAAATTCAGCCCCTATCCCACTGCAATCTCAGTCCAACCTCCCAAACCTCACGGCAAACCTGGCCCTGGTTTCAGCTCTGGAATGAGTTTCAACTGCTTTGGGGGGTTCATTCACGTGCATGTGGCTCTGGTTGGGGGTCCCTCCCCCCTGAGGTCCCCTCACCTCACACTGTGCCCATGGAGTGACGTGCTTGATCAGGCACAAAACCCACAGACCAGGAACAAAGCCCTCATTTGATTTTAATCCCAGCTAGGCGCCAGCTGCCGGGAGCGAGTGGGAGGGAGCCGGGGAGGGGACTCCTCACCATGGCACCGGGCTCTGTGTTATCCAGAAGCGGATTTACCATGAAACAAACTGTGCGGTGGCACGGGGCCCCCAACGACAGGGGCCCCCACAAAATGCAGGACAAATCTCATCTGACAACCTGCCCCCGACCCCCGGCCGGCAGCGCAGCTGGGCTCAGGCCCAGAGTCGGCACCCAGCACCCAAACGTCCTCCCAGAGCCCGCACCCCGCATCCCCTCCTGCACCTCAACCCCGTGCCCCAGCTCAGAGCCTTGCCCCTGCACCCTGCATCCCCTCCTGCACCCCAACGCCCTGCCCCAATCAAGGGCACACACTTTGTTTTCATTTACTTCCCATTACTGATAATATAGGAGGAGGATGAAGAAACAAAGAATGAAAAAGCAGGCGGGGGGAGATAAGAGAGAATGTTCTTTTTCTTGGCTGGGTCCCCAGGGGTGGGGGGTGGGGGCAAAAATGAAGCTGCACACAGGGCCCCACTAACGATCAATCCACCACTGGTGTTATCCAGCCAAGGTCACAGTGGCCTCGGTCAAAGCGTTGCTGCGGTTTATGATCTTTTTTCCCAGGCTGATTGGGGTCGGGATCGCTGCCCGCCTCCCCTGGCCTGGGGACTCCCTGGTCCATGACTCCGAGTCCTCCACTCCTTACCCTGGGCCACATTTGTGCAGGGAGAAGCTGCGGCTTGCAGTCCCCAACTCTTTCGGGGTCAGCTCCAGGCCTGTCAAAGCCCCAGAGAGAGGCAGAATGGAGGGCGTGATCACAACACATTGAGGACAGAAAGGAGGATGCAGCTTCTGGGTGTGGGCTGAGGGGAACCTGGGCAAAATATGGTGGCCAGGGGCAGGCTGCTGCTGCTAAAGTGAAACATGTTCCAGGCTGATCAACAAGGCAGGGCTCCCCTACCACTCTCTGGGGACCTGAGCCCAGCTGCACGCTCAGGCCAGTGGGGTGGGAGTGCAGAAGGAAAATAGAGTCTGTGGGGGAAGTTAGTGCTGGAAAAAAAATTGGGGAATCCCCTTTAGAGCACCCTAGTCTCCTTTTCTAAATGCAGGGCCGGGACTGTCCGCTCAATGTTCTGTCTCAATCCCCCGCTGCAGTGGGAACCTGGCTTGCATCTGCCGTGGTATCTAAACCAATGATGTTGTATTTCTTTATCCCGGCAGGCACAGTGCGCAGGCAGAGCATGAGCAGAGAGTGGCGTGGACCAGAACGCTAGAGCCAAACCCACCTCCCTCCCTCCCAAAACCTTTGGATCTGGGTCTCGGTGGTTCAAACCCATCCCGGCTTGTGGCTACTAAGTTCATCACGCTTGGATTGCGTGGCTCCTGGCACTGCTGGGAGCTCAGCCGAACACAGTGGGTGAAACTTTATAGCTAAGGAGACGGCCAAGCTTTCAGAGCTAGAACCGTGAAGAAGGCCAAGCCATGTGAGTCATGTTATCCTAGGCACACAGAATTCATCATCTAACAGCGTGGTGCTGTTGACTATGCGGGAGGAAGTGGGTCCCGGCTCAGGACTGGGCATTCAGAGATGTGAAGGCCATTTTCAGCTCTGTCGCTGGCTCAGTGACCTTGGGCAAGTCATGGCATAGCTGCTAAATGTCTCTACCTGTGAAATGGGCGTAATCCATACTGCCTCCCACCCGCCAGAGGAGAAATTAACTGTTGCACAATGCATTGCGATGCGGTAGTGTCACCCTCTAGTGGCTGGCCCCAGAGTTAACAAGAACCTGCTGTTTACTAACAGCCAATGGAGTTATTCCTTTAGCCCAAGTGGTACTTGCCCTCTTGGTGCTGTAGGTTGCTGGTTTGATACCCCCCCTATGGTGGTTGTATGACTATGTCTGTGAAATTAGTTAGAGCCAGAGAAAGAGCAAAGTGTTATTATTAAAGCATGGTTCAGTCCATTGATGAGAACCAGCTACACAACTCAGATCTGGATGTGGATCCAAAATCCTTAAGGTTGGGGGCGGGGAGTTATTGTTCCCAAGATGGGTAGAAATTAGACTGGGAAGTTGTTGCAGGGGAGGGGAGAAGTTGAGAAGTTCAGGATCACGTCTAGGAAATCCTGTTACAAAACCAAACTCCTGCAAGGCATGAGGGAGCCAGCAGGTTCTGCCAGGAAGCGTTATCGCTGATCATTCTCTCATCCCAGCTCCCGCCAGCTTTGTTCTCCCCCCACGCTGCGGTAGGGAAATAGTTGCAATTCCTCCGGTACAGAAAGAAAGACCAAGCTCGGTGCATAAGAAGAAAAGCAGAACAATTCCAGTCTCTTTGGAAAAGAAGGGACTTTTGTTCTGCAGCTCAGTGTTGTAATGTTTGGCCTTAAATGAAAAGAACGACAGCACCAGCAACAAAGACCCCCCCCCCCCCCACACACACACCCAAACAAGTGATTCAAGTAGGGAGAAAACAGCTGGCAGAACACCCCGGTACATGGGCTCCTTCCGCGGAGATCCAGCAAGCTAGAAGGGGTTTGCATCCCATAGTCAAACCAACAGGGAGCAAAGCATCTTGGAGGAATGCTCAGCCTGCCCCGAGAGGGGAGTGCAATCAGGTCATCTATTTGAGGGCTGTTTATTTGCTGTAAATATTTATCAAGCCCAAAGTGCCGTGTTTTCCCAGAACCGGTTGGGACTGACGTACGTTGCGGCTCAGCTACCTGGGAGGCAGCCATTCCTCTTGTCAGCAGGTTGGAATGAAGGATGATCACGAGCCAGATCATAATACGCAGGGGAAGATTCGCCCCTGTGCAGGCACCAGGGAAAGGATGGAGGAGAGGGTCTTTATGCCTTAGTCAGGAGCTACCAGAGCTGATGTGTCCCCAACGCAGGCTAAGGCAACCCTGAGCTTCGGTGACTCCTGATGGGGCCCTGACAGGGTGCAGAATTGCTCAGAGCATAGGTCTGCCCTAGCCATGCCCCCTCAAACACCAGCACTGATCTCTCCTTCCCCACCAGCCTGCCCTGCGCTCCCCTCTGTGCTGAAGGCTGCTGCAGATGGCACTGATCCTAACCCTGTTGTAGGGGCTTCCACAGCAGGGCCTTGTGGCTGCCCTCTGGCCTAACTGCTGCAAGGGGGCCAGAGCACAATGACGAACTGAGCCCATGGGCTGGGATTTTCTGAAGTGCTCAGCATCGGCCCACTTCTCCTCCCAGAGGCATCAATGGGAGCAGAGCACGGCCAGCTTTGGAAAGCCCAGCTCCTGCTGACAGAGCTCTTTGCTGGCACCTTTATAGAACTGGTCGGGACTTTTTCAACAAAGAGGGGTTGGGTTTTTTTGGTCAGAAGAGTGCTGATTTGTCAAAACCTAAACCTCACTTCCCAGTGGCCCCAGGTTTGCCCAACGGCCCAGTTCAAAAGAGCGCAGAGAGAAAAGCAAGATTTGAAATTGTCGAGCTGTTTCATTTCCAAATTTCTCAATAATAAAAAAAACCCCTGGTTTTCCAGTGCCATGTGACTCTTTGTTGAGCCAGTTCAGCTAATGGCAGCAGAAAAGAGCAAAGGCAAAAGGTCAAAATCCAGAGGGAATGTTTTGACGGACTGCAAATGACAATAAATAAATACCACAGCGGGTTGCCGGGTCGCAGAGAGATTCAGCTTTTCATCCCGATTCGAGGTGGGAAAAATATCATGCTCTCGTAAGTACTCACAGGACAAGAACCGTCCTCCCTTCACCCCACCACTGCTCATGCCCCCTTGTGAAGTCGGTAAGTATTTACCCCCCCAGCAGTGTATGGCCCACCCTCCCTCTGGAATGGGATGGAAGAGGCTCCCACAATATCTGCCTCATCTCACGCCAGGCCTGAATTCAGACCACTGCCTATAAATACCTGTGTGCTGACCTGCGTAGAAATACCAGAGTGACTGCTCTATGCCAATCAGTGGGGAGTGGTGTGGAGAGAGGGGAAAGCGTGATGCTCTCCCTGGTTCTGCAGCACCATGCACCGGGCAGAGAGAAAGGGACGAGGGTGCTGGGCAATGAAACGTACTCTGACAAGTTCCTGTCGTTGCAAGGCAGAGGGGTCACGCTGGAAGCAATCAGGAGCTAATTGTTCCCTCTGCAGACCCACTGGGGGGCACCAGGATTCATCAACTTTTGCAGGGGGCCTGCATCCAGCTTGAGAGGGAATCTGTAATTGTTTTGTTGCGTGCAGGCCCACCCAACAGGCCCGGTCAGGAGTGGGGCTTCATTGCCCTGGGCACTGTGCAAACATAGAGAATGACACAGTCCCTGCCCCAAGGAATTTATCATTGGAGGCATCAACCCTGGAAAGAGTTACGTGCAGACTTAACTTCAGGCACGGGAGGAGTCACAGTGAAGTCAACGGGAAAACTCACCTGCTTATTCGTGCTTGTCTGGCTTGTCTTCCAACCCGCTGACCCTGCCTGTGCTCAAGCGTGTATGTAAGCGTTTGCAGGACGAGGGAGTTTGGAGCCAAGCCAGACAGGCGATAGTCAGACAGGAGCCCAGTCAAATCTCTGAGGCAATAGCTGATTTCTCTCTTGCCTTTTTTTAACCCCAACCCTAACTCGAATGTGAGTTTATTTTTAAGCCCTGTCTGGTTTCCGTTAGTTTGTTCTAACTGCTGTCCACTGAGCTTTCTTTTCTAGCTGCAAACACTGCCTACTAGGGGTGGGGGGAGGCGCGGGTGGGGGGGGGTTTAGGGGTTTGTACGAACCCTTGTAAAACAAGACAGCTGAACTCCTCCTGGCTCCGTCCCCTCCCACCCTGAGATTCCCAGCAGCTACTTGGTGCTGGGAGAGAGCCCAGCTGTTCGAAAATCATCTTAGGGACAATCTTTGTAGCATTTCAAAACACTCCCTGGTTAAGTGCAATGACTAGAAGGGGCCTGAGCCTGCTGAAGACCAAGCAGGGACCCAAGGGAGCAAACGGGCTCTGTCTCTCCTAAGGGCATGTTATCCCGGCCCCTCTCCCCCGCAGAACTCAGCACAAGGACATGAAAGAGCGTGAGAACGGAGAGCTCCACCGAGGTGCAGCTCCCCATGGATGGCAGGGCTAGCTGCAGCTGCTGAGCTCAAGGCCACTGGCTGCCCTTTGCAAGAAAGATTGGGAACAAAAGGGGCTGCTCAGCGTCCCCCCGGGAGAGCCATAAAAAGAGCCATTCCCCTGTTACTGCATGTCAGCAAAGGGAGTGGACAGAGCAGCCAAAGGTGCAGCCCCCTGGGGACTCTGTGCAGACAGATGTTTCCCTCTGGAATGCTCCTGACGCTGGGATTAGTGCCTGGCCCTGATGGGGAAGGCCTCTGGAAGTGGCTCATATACAGAGCCATTCTCTTCTCGCTCAGATCCTAAGCCGGCGTTAATGGCAAAATCAACTGCCAAGCTCCTGCCAGCATCACTGATTCGGGTTCAGTGAGGTGACCCAGTGGATGCTCATGGAGTTACACGTGCGTAACAGAGAGAAACTGGCTGGACAGAGATATTTTCAACGCAAGCAGCAAAGACGAGCTGAGTTGAGTTTATCGTCTCATCTCCAGGGTGTCAGGGTCCCTGTATCCAGGGGTGTAGCGAGGCGGCTGCTTTGCGCCTGGGGAAGAAGGTTTATTGGGAATTTTAACAGTGCTGGTGATGGAGGTGTCCATGCCTCCTGGGCTGCAGGGAATCCTAGCATGGGCTCTGCCATGATCCAGCACTCCTCCCTGCTGCCCTGGGACCTACAGCATTAACTGTTTCAGTGCCTGGCAGCATGGGCGCACATCAAGAAGTCTAAGCCTAACAGCCTGACCTCTGTGGGGGGCTGGGTGGGTTCAGCACCTGATAAAGAGAGGGGCCAATGGTGAAATTTGGAGCTAGCTCTGGGTTGGGCTTCCAAATACCCTGCAATGTTGTGCGGTGGCTGGATTTGCAGGGGCTGGGGAGGGGTGATTTGGGTCCTTCTCTAATGTAACCCCCAAATCTTCTTTCTTTTACTTCATGCTTTGGACTGATGAGGCTCACAGCCTGAATCACCCTGGGTTACTGCATGGGGGTCTGTAATTAATACAGGGGCGGGAGAATCAGACTCTTATCTTTGCTGCCGGGCCACGGGGTTTGTTCTTCCCCTCCTGGGGCTCAGAGCAACTGTCAGATCAGAAGGGGACTCCAGCACATTCAATGAGATGAGACTAGACCGCTTCGTTGGTGTCGATTTGATGGCTTCTCTCTCACCCTCTGAAAAGCACAGAGAAGCCCTGACAAAATCTTCCTCATAATAACAGGGAGCTAACTGCTGTGAAACACCCACTGACTGTTAATTACAGGGGCCTGCCCTGGCTAATTGCTCTGTAGTTCTGGGGAATATTAACCGTATTCCATCAACGGTGATGGTGCAGCGTGAATAGTGACAGGTTGCACTTTTCAGCTTCAAGTCCCTGGCAGAAATGAGTTCATGAACCCACCAGCTTGTGTGAGCTGCGAAGCACAATGCAGTAAGAGGGGAGGATGGTGACGCTGACACTTGGGGGTGTTAGCAAGACACCGCAGCGGTCGACCTGCACCCCCTGCTGTCATCGGAACCGCTCAGTGTTGCAAGGGGGCCCCCACAATGCACCTGGCTAGGTGTGTAGAAAAATTCCCTCCTGGAAGTGCTGCAGGACGGTTCCAGCGTTTAGGTACAGTCGATATCTTACTGGGGGCCGATAACACAGCCACGGCTGGCCCAGGTCAGATGTTTCGGGCTTGCAGGGCTTTGGCTGTGGGGCTATAAAATGGCTGTGTAGACTTTTGGGATCAGGCTGGAGCCCGGGCGCTGGGACCCGCCCCCCTTGCTGGGTGTCATTGCTTCGTGCCTCAGTTTCCCTCTCTGACCTGGGGATGCAAGCACTTTGTCTTGTCTAGTGCAGCTATTTACTGGGGGGCAAGGGCGATCTCTCACTCTGCGCATGGGCAGCACCCAGGGGGCCTCAATCTCAGGCAGACCTCTAGCTGAT